TGATTTAATTGTAAACAAGATGACTGAAATGATCAAAATCAATGTCAAACTGGCCAAAACACTCAATTTCAGTGGGGGGTTTCCAGCTCCATTTTACAGTAATTAAGTACACAACAACCATATTATTGTTGTACTATACATTGATGTATAGTATTACATCTACATAAGAGGGCACCGCCTATTACAGCTATCCTACATTTTAAAACTGAGGGGGTGGGGGGGGGTTGGTGGAGCTTGGTGGCTTGCTGGTTAGGGAAGTGTGCTTTTGATTGAAAGGTTGCTGGTTCAAATCCCTGCCCAGTAAGTTACCACCTCCAAGTGCTGCTCAGCTTACTGCTTATGGAAGCGTGCTTGTGATGGAACGGGTGCTAGTTCAAATCCCTACCCAGTAAGGTTCCACCTCCAGGTCCTGAATTAGCTGTCCTCTGCTATGTCACACATGGGCTAAATGCAGAGGACATATTTCCTTGTTGTGTGCTCTGGTGTGTTAATTAATCACTTCAATTTACAGTACTATGATCTTGGTGGGGGAGAACACTACCTTAGCTATTTTTTTCCCCACTAGGTGGGGCTGTATCCTCTTTTTTCACAGTTATCTTTTACATGGAATTCTAACAAAATCAGGACATTTGGTTGACGGATTTTGGAAAACAGATTAATCCAATAACAGTACAGTCATGCCATATAAACAGGAGATAACTCTCATTTCTTTGCTGTGAGCATACTCACGTGTTGGTGGAATAAGAAAAATGACCCTTGGAGTGATCAGTATACTTTTATAATAGAAGCAAAATAATATGAAACATTTATCGGCATGTGCAATAAAATGCATTACATGATTTGTGCTAATATATAAAATATTGGTTGAGACTCCAAGTGGAGTTTTCTGTTGTACCTTTCATAAAGGTCCTGACCAGCACTGCCTATACAAGGTACATAATATGAATTAATTATAAAAGAAATTGAATTGTATGCTACCTGTCACCCTATACCTGCAAAATGGGTGAATGGATGTTAATTTCCCTGCCTTCCACATCAAGTTGTTTTCTAGGAAATGATCACAGTATCTGTATCTAGTAACATGAGTTGAGAGAGAGAGAGAGAGAGAGAGAGAGAGAGAGATTAGGTATCTGTATCTTTGTGGGATTATCCATTCATTTCTATGGGCAATAACCATAATTACAGCTATGACGACCATAACCCTTACCCAGCCCTAACCTTAACCATAACAACCATAACCAAACAAAATCCATTTTTAGTTTTGTGATTGCATTCACAATTTTTTTTTTATAAAATTCAGTTTCCCCTTATGGGGACCAAAAAACTGTCCTCACAAGGTCAAAATAATAGATTTTTATCATGTTGTGGGGACATTTGGTTGGCCCCTATAATGTAATATATACATGACCCTCACACACACAAATTACTTCTAGAATTTCTCATTCAGATGCAAAGTCTGCCTACGTTCATGAGAGACAGACGACCAGTAATTAAATATAAGAAAATGTGGGGTCTTTTAATTTTTCTACAAGTAGGCCTACTCTGAAATAAGAATGTTGATATTTTGAGTCGATGTTACTGTTATTTTAATCGTATCTGTATAGGTGACGTTAAGTAGTCGTACAGTGATATTTTCACTGCAGACATGTGCCTCCGGGTGTGAACAAATTACCTATATATGTGGTGTTTATTGAACTAAAACTGTGCACGTGAATATCTTAAAAATGTATACCTGAGTGCCAAATTACGCGTATGCGCCGTAAAACGGGAAGCGGTTCGTTAAGAAAGGTGTGGGCGGGGCTTCGCATGAATCGAGCCAACAGGAGAGCGGCGTGATGCCCAAAGACCACGCCTCTCGAGAACGCACCTGCTCTTGGGTGAAATGGGTGCAAAACCCTTTAAGAGTTGCGTTGGTCATGCAACGAAGACTTCACGGTGGAGAAATAGCGAGATGAAGAGCGGCATTAGTCCGGCATCATGTGCCCCAGGCTCCCAAGGACCGCCTGCTTGCTACGACTCACTGTCCTCTGCATCATTCTATCACAAACATCAGCTTATTTCGGGTCAGCCAGACTTTTCCTTTTGTTGCTGTTTTTCTTCGTAATGTATCTATTCTAATGGTCCCTGTCATGGGAATAGTGTGATATTTTGCATTTCAATGTCCTGTTTTTCGGTCTTTGATGCGTGTGTATCACCAATGAGGACTATAATACTTTTTGACATGTTAACTCTTCAAAGATGATGCTCATCAGATTTTGGTTAAGATACCACACGCGGAAATAAGTATGTCAGTGTTTCAAAAGATATGAACGCAATTCCAGATAAACATTAAACTAAAAAATGAAGCCGTCGGTCTATTAAATCTGTTAAATCTAGCGCTTTGTATATTTTAATCATATTGTCAAAATTACGTGTCTTCGGGTAAAACTAGGCAGCGAATCGTGTAAATAATTTTCTAATTTGCTGGGAATTGAATAAAAAGAGAAATTCATCCTATTAAACTAATTCTGCCATCTGATTTGATAACATTGTCAGTTATTTAGAGAAGCACGGTATGTTGAGATTTTTATTTATGTTGAATATTTCAGAAATTATATTTATTGTTTTTGTTGTACAGTTTGTTATTATTATTATTACTATTATTAGTGACTCATGGTTTTCACATTTTATATAAACGGTTTCCTTATAAGACAAGAGGGTGGTAATAATGCAGACAAACTGAAAATGTTTTTTCTCTATGCCTGAATTTATATTAATATCAATAATGTGTTACAATTGCAACATGAACAAACAACACTATTCTACCGATGAGTGTTCCATTATGTTCTCATAGTTCGTCCTGTGAATCACGTTGCCATCAGTGTTATACCTTAGACACGTATCAAATCCTGTGGGTACTTACTAATGATTTTTTAATTATTGTTTGAAAACGGCATGTTTGTGCATGATATATTTAGTTTCGCAAAATCAGCTTCTCTTAAATTCTTAAACATTAAACACATACTAAACACTGCAAAAAATGCTTGATGGATATTTCACAAAATCAACACGATCTGAAATAATTTTAGATTGAATAAGAATTGTATAATCACGAAATTGTTGATATTATTGAATAAGACAACTAAATATTTTCCTTCACATGTAGCCTTTTATAACGTAAATCACAAGGCTAATCCCTTTAGAGATGCGATATGTTTATTAGTTGGTTTTAACTATATTCGTGTTCCTTAGTTAGACAACAAAACCATCAATTTACCTTTAAGGAAGGCATCATTTGAAGAACCGTTAAAGATCAGCTCATACTTTGTTAGAGTTAAATACAATGTCTGACTCAACTACATTATGTGTAATATGGCAATAACAATTATTCAATGGCAGGTGCGTAGGAACCGGGGGGAAGGGGGGACCTGTACCCCCGATATTTAATTTCAAACCTATGATAAGTATTTGTATTTTAATTATTAAATGTTAATTAAAATTATTATTAATATAAAAGTTGCCTCCAAATCAAACTGTCCTACGCCGTTGTCTACTGGAATCCGTTGTAGTTAAAAACTTGGTAAGATATACAGGCAGTCATCTTCTAACCGCCTATTCTGGTCAGGGTTGCGAGTTGGGCAAGACTAATTTATATATGAATGTTATCTCTAGCCTATATCAGAATATATGCCGTGTGGTTCAGTTTTCATCTTGGTAGTCCTATTTAGAGTGTTTGCTACGGTATAAACACTTATTTTGCTCTCTTATTCTTCTCGGCAGGTTGATAGGCAGGGAGTTTCTGCCGGCTCCCATACCCAGCGATGCCCAGTCGGATAAAGCGCACCTTAAGCAGTGTGAACAGCTGGCACTGAACCGTCGCCAGAAGCGTCTTTGTCGGCGGGACCCGGGATTGGCCGAAACCTTGCGGGAGTCCGTACGCCTCAGCCTGCTGGAGTGTCGGTACCAGTTCAGAAACGAGAGGTGGAACTGTAGCCTGGACGGCCGTGGCAGCCTGATAAAGCGAGGTGTGCGACTTCTTCCCGTTAATCCGTGGCGCGCAATGTGCCAGAGTATTTAAACTGCACAGTTGCATACGGGGTCAGGCAAACTCATGGTGGCTTTGCGGTACTTATGATAAAAATGCTGGGCAGTTTCTGCAATCTAAGTGAAATGCCTTGAATTGGGACAATCTGTTTGTATTATTTTGGTGAGACAAAACTGCATGCAAACGTACCACAATTAGACTAAACATTGTCAATAAGCGATATTGCACTGTTAGAAAATAACGGAATTGGAAATATAGACCTACTGTTAGGGATTAAAATCATGTATGATAAACAGAGCAGCTGTAAAGTAATTAAGGAATCGAAAGGCGGATTTATTGCGCGCCTTTAAGGTGCGGCGTTATCGAGGTATTTTTAGCTCGGAAAAGCGCCCAGATCCCAGAGGAAAGGGGCGGTAAGATTCCCCGCTTTCATCTGGAAAAAGTCTCTTCCTAGTCAAAATAATAATTAATTGGATCAAAATACACCCTTGTAGTGACTCCGAACTGCGCCAGCAGTAATGAGAATCATCGTTATGAGTCTGAGGAAGATTAATTTTGAGATATCAAGTACCTACAATTATTCCAGACAAAACCCGAAGTGCACTGCTCCGTTGTGCACAGTTTTGTGATTATGTTCACTGTAATTTATAATACCATTTGTTAAAACATAGTTTTCCGAGAAGCAAAGTCAGACTGAATTCCAGATTGTAGTTTTAATACTGTACAGTAAAAATGTTTCTGTGTTTGCTGTGCAATCAGGGAAAACAATTTGAATGCTGGGAGAAATATATTTGATTATTTTTAAGAGTTGGGAGGTTTTAGGCATGCCATTGCCTAAAATTAAGGTGTGTGTGTTCCAGTTTTTTCAGCAGCTGTAAATATTCTGCATTAAACTAAAGTGTCTGGGCATGTATGCAAGTAACATCACATATTGTAGTATTGTAGTGTGCAGGGTCCACTTTGTGAAAATATAGCTGAACTGCATCTTCATTTCAGGCTTCAAGGAGACGGCATTCCTGCTGGCCATCTCCTCGGCGGCGCTGTCCCATGCGCTGGCCAAGGCGTGCAGCTCGGGCCGCATGGAGCGCTGCACGTGCGACGACTCGCCAGAGCTGCAGCACCGTGAGGCCTGGAAGTGGGGCATATGCGGGGACAACCTCAAGTACAGCACCAAGCTCCTCAAGAACTTCCTGGGCAGCAAGCGGGTCAGCAAGGACCTGAGGGCTCAGATTGACTCCCACAACGTTAACGTGGGCATTCGTGTGAGTGAGGCCTGCTTTTTAAAAGATGACAAGATGATCATTATTAAGGTTAAAAGCACTCCTGCCTTCAGAAGGAAAGCCCCCTCAATGGGTCACAGTATATGACAATAAAGGCATCTGATAATAATAATAATAATAATAATAATAATAATAATTATAAACATACACTCAGCGGTCACTTTATTAGCTACATCTGCTTTTTGACATCAATAGCCTGCTCCTACAAAAAGACAATCCTATAGATGCAATTCAATATATAAAATATGCAGACAGAGTCAAGAGGTTCAGTTCTAGGGAGCTTTAGAATGGGCAATTCAGAGGGGCTGAATGATTATGAATACGACTGATGTGGTATCCTGTAGTTTTTATGCAGTACAGATTCTAGAGTCTAGGTTGTGCGATAAACTGCAGAGATCCAGTCAATGGCAGTTAATGTTAAGGAGAACAGTCAGTGGGAAATGGCCAGATTTGTTAAAGCCTGCAGAATGGGTGCAAGTGCAAAAATGCCATGGACCAATAAGGAAAGTTTCCAACACCTTGTTGAATCCATGCCTTGAATAATTCAGGCTGTTCTGCAGAAAAAAATGGGTCTTGGTAGCAGGTAGATGCACTATAAAGTATAATATATAATTATTAATGGATAATGATGCTTTATATGGCACATTTGAACCCTTAGGGAATCCAGGGTACCTCTTTGCAGGGGTCTTATGTATGCGCATTGAATCAAGAGAGATAATGGCACTGTATCTTTTATATACTTGTTCATGTGCTTTTAACAGTCAATTAAACAGCCTAGACAATTAAAGCAAATACATTAGTTAAAAAAATGTACGAGACAACAGAACTCTGGGTGCCAAAAATATGCAGTGTTTCTGTCATTGAGTAACATCCAAATATAGGAAAATGAGGACTATGAGGCTTATGGAATGCTGCAAATGAGAGCCTGTCGTATCCATGTGCTTATTTGGAGCCTATCCTGTCTCTTAGCACCGTTTGTGTGCTGTTGTTGTAGCAGGTGCTCGCAGCCTAGTCCGCAGCAAAGAACGTGTTAATGGTGCCTCAGAGATCTCCCACACCCTCCGAGATAAAAAGTCGGTGTGGTGCCTATGGCTGCAAGGTCAGGAGACACTCGCGAGAGCCAGGTGTTCCCAGGCATGATAAAGCTTGCTGCAGGAGCCTCGGAAAATTAAAGGGCTCCTTTCAGAACTGCCAGAAATTAAACATTTGTCCTTATAATATATGAGCATGCATTTTTTCCACATAGAGTATGAGGGGCACTTACATAGTTAATAAATCCAGTCCATATATAATAATTATCTAATTTAAAGTCAGCCATCCTCCCCCCCCCAGGCGATCTGTTTCCGACCATCAGAGCCATCTTTCCCAGCTTTTAGGTCACGATTCCCAGTCACCCTCTGGCAATTCCTTTCCCGAAGAAGCAGGAACAATGGCCAGGCCATGGTATCTTTCCCTGCATCCAGAAAACAAACCCGAAACAAATCAGAAAACTGAAAACAAACACAGCCTTATCTGCTAACCCGAAGCCCCCCCACTCGGATCAGATGACGCCGCCGCTGCCGCGTGGGGTTAGTAAGCTGGCTGGCTGGCAGCAGGTAGGGGGCGGCTGCTTGAGTGGTTTGTCATTACCCCTCCGAATGTTTTAAGAGCAGGAGGCCTTAAGGGGCTCATACCTGCATGGGTGGAATTCGACTGACCTCTTTGCGCACGCACACACACACACACACACACATACACACCCTAACAGCCCCAGGCTGTTCCTGCCCCCTCCGCCCCCATGCCATTAGAGTCACACCTCTGCCACATGACCTGCCCTGGGCCCCCATGCTCAGAGGCACTCTTTTCAGCTGACCGCTCTATCGCTATTTCTTCCAGGACGGTGAACCCTCACCTGGTGGCGGTCTGCTCTGGCTGCTCTCACTGTGCCCCGTGCACACACACACACACACACACACTCTCTCGTTCTCTCTCTCTTTCTCTCCCTGCCTTTCAGTGTAGTAACACCTCTATATAAAATTCCATTTGGCATTGCTGTCCCAATCGTCAACCCAGAGAAGTAAACTCACCCATGGCACATTTCTGCTATTAAGATAGGATGCCTTTTTCAGAATTTCTGGAATCTTCTATCCAGCTCAGGCAGCTTCCGGTTCTGTGGTCCGTCTGTATGCTTCAAAGCTGCGCACTCTGTCAGGAAGCAAGTAGTGGGGGGGACATGAAAGTTTACAATTTACAATGACATGAGCTCCTCTAGCTTGCACCCGGGGCCGGACACTTATATCCAGCAGCTTACACGCTGTGAACCTACACTAGTGGCCAAAATTGGGGGTACACTTCCAGTTTTTAGAGATTGACTAACTTTATTCCAGTTACTCCAATTACTCATTTAATCATCCAATGTATGATATTTGTAAACATTCTTTAATTGTTTATAAACATTACGACCAATATCTGTGTAGTAGTTTTTAAAGTGTAATTGTAAAAATGTTGGTGTTTCCACAGTTTTGGCCACTAGTGTATGCTGTAGTCAAACCATTCATTCATTTGCGAGTAGAGTGGTCGAGTGATTCTCTAATTCAGTTCAGTTTCTTTTTACGAAGCTCCCTTCCTGATGTAGTTTCCCCAAAATACTTAACACGTGTAAATACAAACAAGCACACAGCTGCCGTGCAAGCAGAGGAATTCAGAAGAGAATAACAAACCTTGAGGGGTGCAAGGTGAACCGGTTGCTCACCTCTCCTGGGCATGCTAACTGCACAAGCTAAATTGCGGCGCTTTTCCACTGCCACCAAGAACCGAGTCGTACCGCGAACCAGCCGTTTTCCATTGTAAATAGTACCCGCGCTGATGTGGCTCTGCTTACTACCAGAGCCGAAAGCGTGATCTAAACAAGCTGGTTGCGACACACCCAACTGATTGGTTGAAATGCGCGGAGGCACCGTGAACTGCGTCAATGTTCGTGGATTAAATGAAGGAAAACAGGGCATATTCTATATTATAATTACTAGTATTAATATATTAATATTATGTATTATTAATAGCTGTATTGCACATCATAATGTATTGATGCATTCCAAGTAACTTGAAACTTTCCAACCTCTTACTTAAAAACATGCTAGGGAACGGCTGAACGGAATGGATTTGTACTGCAGATTTACTCAAGCTAATGCTAATTCCCCTAGCATTTGATGCTAACATAACACAGCAATTCTTGAGATGTGATAGCAGAAATTAGCACACAGTAATTCATGATGTACACCCCGTGAACAGCAAATAATCCTCTCTTCGGTTTTACGCCACTGTCGCTCTCCAAGCTTGGCAGTGCATTTACCGAGCCGATCCTTCTGCATTGAAAAATCGAAGTAAGCTGGAACTGTAATTAGCCTTCCTTAGCAATATGGCTCAAATACAGGTCGATTCCTGTATGCCAGTGGAAAACCATCACACCACCACACCACCTGCTGCAAGATAACGTACAGCTAATTGGTACTGGTAAAGTGCGGAGAAAATGCCGCAGGCAGAGAGTGAGCACTCTACATTCGTCAGCTGCGTGAAGTTGAGCTCACGGCATACTGTTAATGGCTCATTATTAAATGGAGAATGGGGGCAGGGCCAAGCTGATGTGTCCTGTCCTCCTGCAGGCGGTCAAGAGTGGCCTGAAGACCACGTGCAAGTGCCATGGCGTGTCGGGCTCGTGTGCCGTGCGCACCTGCTGGAAGCAGCTCTCCCCGTTCCACGACACCGGCCGGCTGCTCAAGTTCCGCTACGACTCGGCCGTGCGCGTGTACAGCGCCACCAACGATGCCACGGGGGAGACGCAGCTGGCGGGCGCCCATCGCCACAACAACGGTCCTCGCCCCACCGACCTGGTCTACCTAGAGGATTCGCCCAGCTTCTGCCGTCCATCCCGCTACTCTCCTGGGACCGCGGGACGTCCCTGTGCCAAGGACACCAGCTGCCAAAGCTTGTGCTGTGGGCGTGGCTACAACACGGCCCTACGGCTCACCACGCTGTCGTGCCACTGCCAGGTGCGCTGGTGCTGCCACGTGGAATGCCAGACCTGCGTGAGAGAGGAGGAAGTCTACACCTGCAAGAAGCACTGAGACCCGCATTCAGCCACACGGTCCGGGGATGAAGCAGAGACGGGGGGAAGCAGGGCCAGTGAGAAGAGCGGGAGAAGTGGGGGGATGCAGAGAATCTGAGGAAATGTGGCGTGATGTTTAGTATGACTCACTGTCTCTCCTCCCTCAAGGCACCAATAAGCATACATATCCATACAGTTCATATCATATCCATACCAGTCATCTGTTTGCCAGTGAATTGGTGCAAACAGGAAGCAAGAATGCCTCAATGCAAACACCACAACAAAGACTATCCCTAAAGGGAGAACTAAAGACTAAACGTCAAGTCTTAACCTTCTCCGTGCGGCGTTGCACAGCATATGGTGGCGAGCACTGTCAGAGGGGTTGGCCACGTGTCCCACCAGCATGGACAGACCTGTCACCCTGTCTGCTGATAGGAATGAGATCTTAACAGGGCGTGGAGATCCACCATCTATGGGTGCTACATGTGAAATGGATACTGAAGTCTGGAGGATGGACTTTTAGTTGCGTTTGGGACCTGAGGTCGGCAGTTATTGAGCGCAACACCGACTGAGTGTGTCCGACTGTCGGCGACCATTTTCTCTACTGTGCCGTTTGGTGCCAGTGCCTTCCCTGTGCCACCATCTTTGCTGCTGGTTTGCTGCCTGTGTTCTTGTCTCTGAAAACTCTACGGTTGTGTAGAAACTTAATGTAGGTCTTTATACCTGCTTTCTGCTGTAAGAAGATACAAGTGGGTCCTGGTGTAAATACTGGAATAATAATTAGCACTTATTTCCCAGCTGTGTACTTAGATTTTTATATACAATTACCAAGTTGAACATTGTGTTCAGAGGATCTCTGATCCACTAGTTGATTATGGATCTTGCTGATTTATTGTTTTGAAAGTTTTGTTGCTCTTTTAACACCTGTTATGTTCAGCTGTGTTTTCTGCCTCATTGTATGTTTTATTTGACCACTTCCCTGACATGTACTTTCATGGTTATGTTTTGCTCTGTGTTATCCAGAGTATATGTAATGCTGGTAAACAGTTTTCTATCATTTAATATGTCAGTTACTAAGGTTTTAATTTGAAATAAGTAATTTTTCTTGGAGTAATTATTGCCTGTGGCCAATGTTTAGACAATGAAAATATAGTCAGTTCTCCATATATCTCCGGGGGGTTCTGGATCCAATCCCCCGTCGATACCAGAACCCACGGATGCTCAAGTCCCTTGTATGAAATGATATAGTATTTGTATATGACCTCCGTACATCCTCCTGTAGGGTGACCAGATAGTCCCTGTCAGGGGGGAGACTTGGAGCTAGGACAGGATTTATAAAATTTCATTTCAATCAAAAGGACCTGGATTTCATTTAAGCACTGAGTTCATGCTGGGTGCTGATTGGTCAGTCTCCTATAATCATGCATGTGCCACTAATGTTAATTTGAAACAGCTGGATGAGTCTTTCAATCAAGGAAACAAACCAGTCAAAGCACGTGAAGAACTGAACTCTTTAGCTAAGCACAGGAGCCTTTCAGTTTCAGAGTAGTTTGTAAAACCTGAAGCAGCTCAAAATGTCCCCCTTGAAATGGATTACCTGGTCACCCTGTCTTCCTGTATACTTTAAAGCGGGATTCAGAAATTCTGGTCCTGGAGGGGCAGTTTGCAACACAGTTTACAAAAAAGGGACACGATGGTTGTATAACAAACAGTACAAGTGTTATGAAGGGATATTTCATTCTTTGTGCATTATTGTGTTTTTTTTTTTTTTTAAACCTATTTCGCTTGTAAACTTTTGTTTGAATGTCTTCCATGTCACTGAAATCAAGAGGAATTTATTTCGTCGTTAGCATCAGATGTTGCCACCCCAGTACCTCATTTAAAGCTCCACTTTGTGTCTCTCCTTCTGCCTTTGAAGTCACTGGTTTCCCACTGTTTTCCCCTCGTTAACAATTAAGTGAAATTGCAGTGTTTATCCTCTGGACCCCTTCGTTTTTCCACGACGAAGGGTGAAACGTGCAAGCGGTGTCCCAACTTGCTTTCGTAGTGTGTCTTTTTTTTATTTTTTTATAATTTCCTAGTTACTGTTATTGTTTGCTTGAGCTAAGAAGAAAATTATTTCATGCCCATGGGCAAACCCCCCCCCCCCCTTCTGCTGCTGCCGCCGCCTTCATGAGAGTGTTTGGGGAGAACTGGCAACCCAGTGTAAGAGGTGGATTTCAGGTTCATTTCAAGCAGTTTAGGAGGACAGTTAAAGAACTTTGGGGTTCATTCTGTCAGAGATAAAGGTCCTTCTTCCCAAAGCCTGGATGTTATTAGTGGAATATTACATCTTCGCTTTGTCAGACAGCTGTTTTTGTTGGCCACGGATCAGGGTAATCACAGGCAAAAGTTTTTGATGCCAGGAAGGAAATTCCCAGGAGCTGCAAAAGCACCACTGTTAAATTAGACTCATTGATCAAACCCCGAGCATTCTAGCTTACTACATAGGGTGACCCAGACAGATCTGCCATCGCAGTTCATTTGCGGGACCTTATCATCTAAATTAGGATCTAGAAGGCATGTATAAGCTCACCCTGTCTGCTTTGTGGTACTGCCATAGGATCACATAAGGAAAACCAGCTTGCCCCTCGAGGAACTCCGAAAATCTTCATTAGGTAAAGGCAGTCAGCCAACCTTAACAGTCTGACATGTTAGCACGTCTAGATTGTCTCCCACCCATTTTTCATATCCACCTACCCAGTATTGGGTCCAGGAGCATATCCCAGAAGGCTCAGGGTACAAGAAAGTTATTGCAATATTATATAGCATTTAAATGTTATTTTGTTATCATGTAGCCTCGTACATTGCTACAGCCGCAGACACAGCATGGATATTTCAGTGGTGCTCCATCAATGAATAACACATTTATATAATCATACGTAATGGAAAACAAAATCACTCTGATAGTCAATGCTGACCAGTTTTATTAGAGTAAATATGAAAATTCCCATGAAAGTCCACAACATGACCATTTCTCATTTCCTTTCATGGAACGGCTTTGCTTTTTATATAACGCCAAGTGGCCAGGCTTGACGTCCGATTTCACCACCAGTTTTTGCCATTTCATTTGCTATGTCTCAGAATGCTGAGCCGCCTCACCCAGAAGGCGGTAATAGCAGACCTCCCTCTGTAACTTATTTATCTGCTCTGTGAATATTGGCAAAATGTAATGAGTTGCATCTCATCCCTAGCCGTGACTTAGCAATGATCCATATCACTAATAAAAAATGATCCCCCATGTCGCTGCCTTTCCGTTTGTAACTCGATTGTACAACTTGTGTTATCTCCAAATGAGCAGTGAGTTCATTCTGTTAACACACTGCAACTCTGGTTTTTAGCCAATCCATTATCAAAAACATTTGAAATTATGAAAGGCATGTATTATCTCAAATGGGGAGAAAAGTAGAATCCATGCTTTGTGTTCCTATATGTGGGGGTGAAACTTCCAACTTTGAGTGAATACCTCTCCCCTGCATCCCCATCAGAGCAGCTCTCCTCTTCCTCTAGCTGATGTTCTTTCCACCCTTCATCCCATCATCCCACCTGAAGCGGTTTGTCAGTAGCAGTGCTCTGAATCCCACCTCCCATTTTTCCTCTTACCGTATGGTATTGCTGTGCTTGCCTCTTCTCAGGAATGTCATTTCAGCATTTTCTTGGCTCTCATTGGTTCCTTCCAACATGAAGCCACCCATGTTTTTTTAAAAATGAAGCCTATTTTTCCTGTTTTTAATAACCTCTGAAACAGTTTCACTGTGGCCTTTGGTGCTGCTGAAGACCACAGTCAGGCTCTCTCTCAGATATGAAAAATAGCAAAAACAAGCTCCCTCTTTAAAAACACAGAGATGGACTCACACCATAGCAACAGGTGATTCACGAGTTGACACCTGCAGGCATGCGATCAGGTCTGTCTATAGCACGTGTACCGTCCCCAATGGCATTGTAAGCTCCCATAATCACTGTCTGTCTCAGTCACGGCAATGAACGCGGACGGGGAAAACACAAAGAGGAAGCCGCCAACATCCTGCTCCCCTTTGAACTTTGCAAACATAGAAGTTCCAGGATAAGACACTGTACTCGTCATACAATGGGCACAGGTGCTCATTAGTAATACTGCAGACGGAGCAGGATATGCTTAAATTGCCAATGTGGCAATGTGACCAGCGATAATTAAACAAAACAATTAACTAGGACAATATGGACTACAGGGACAGCTAATGTGAAAAAAACTATATTTCAGACTCTAGTCTATTTCTAGAAATGTTCCTCAAGCGTTGAATATTTCATATTTCATGAATAAAGTATGTATACAGTACATACATTGTGTGATGTTTGTTTGTGTGTGTGTGTGTGTGTGTGTATGTGTGTGGAATAGGTTTATATTACTTTGTGGGGACCATTTTTTGGGTCCCCACAAAGATCTGTGAATACAATCAAAAAAGAAAAAATGCCAAAAGTCTTATATTTTGTTTGGTAACTTATGGGTAAGGGCTGGGTAGGGATTAAAGTCGTCATGTTGGGATTAGAGTTTTCCCCATAGAAATGAATGAAAAGTCCCCACAAAGATATAATTACAAACCTCTGTATATAACTTTGTGACAGTGAATTGTTACTCTTTAATGGTTCTGAGGTTTTTTTCCTGTTCTAACTAATATGCTATGAAACTATATTGTTCTGTACTGATTTTTGTATTTCCTTGTAAATTGCATCTAATCTATGCTATTTAATCCTGAAGTGCTTCAAAGTGGAAACAACTGAGAGTAAATGAACAATAAGGACAAGTAAGTAACAGCAATTACACTGAAAATATGAGAACATGAGCCAACGCGCTTAGGTGTCGGCTGCAGGCCCCTCTGGGATCTTCGTAATGAACACTTTTCCTCACACTCACCTAACCCTCCATCTTTTAGGGATTCAAAGACAGCTAGAGGGGCTGGGCACTGTCATGAATCAATAGAGGCTCTCATTTTGGAGTCTGTGCAGTGTGTGAGTCAGCACACCATCCCGTCTCTCAGGATGTAATTACCAAAATGCTTTCTGAGACTGACGTCTGCCGATATTACTCGAAATCACTTTGGTGGAGACCCCAATTATTTTAACAACTTTTAACTAATAACAGTGTATAATTCATTAATTGTGGATTCACGTCTTTTGTACATGCCAAATCTTGCTGAAACAAATTTTATGACAGAAAATCTCACCCCAAAAAAAAGAAAAATTGTGACTCCTGGCTGAGGCTTACAGCACTACAATAATGCTGAGTACAAAGATATCAGAATGACACAAAGGACTATGATCATTATTTCCATACACTCATATTGTATCTTAATGGCTGCAGGTGAGAGAGCAAAGGCGATAGCCCTAAACCCTTTGGGGCCACGCTGTAACTTAATGTGTCGGCCTGGATTAGCGGTAGCAACACTGACCTAAAAGCACATGGATTAATGACTCCTTGTGCCATGAAGCTAAAACGGTTCCCTCCAATGCGGCTCTCTTGGGCTTCGTAGGTCTCCCCATCAAGGCCGTGTCTTTTCCATCAAGCATACGACTTTATAAGGAGAAATGACATTTACTAGACTCAGAGTAATGGTGTGGTAGATGGTATTTTACAGCTCACAGCCAGGACATGAGGACTTTGGTGGGGGTGAGGAACTACCACTCTGTGTTGTATGTTTAATAGAGGTCTGTCAGTTCTGAAGTTCGATTAAAGTGAAGAAATAAGCATGAGGGTCAGGTGGGACGGGGGGTGGGGATCAATTCCAAAGAGTCGAGAGCAGACAGCAGGAGGGAGATGAGGAGAAAAGCTGAGACTTCCTAAGCGTAAGAGGGAGAGACTTATCTCTGGAAGTGGGATGGGGTTTGGAGGGGATTTTCAAGGAGCCCTGGGGGCCAAACTGAGTTCCCTGCTGCCCCCCGCTGCTGTTGTTTTAAATGAACTCTTAAATTCTTCATTTCCCGGTGGCCTTCAGAGTGGACGCAGCCCCACTGAGCAGGACGCCTGCTTCTCACGCATGTCTCGCACCGGGAGGCAGGTCCCTGAGCCCGAGCCAGGCTGGCGGTGGGTGTTCAGTGTGGCAGGAGAGGGGCAATTCACAGAGAGCGCTCGTATAGCGGGCTGTGTCACTGGAGGTGATGTGGCGGGACAAGGTGTCACATGCTCCGCGATGGCGCCAAAAGCTGAACAAAAGGACTAGAGCAAGGACCCATGGGCTCCTTTCAGATGTTGGAACCTTAGGCGGCTGCTTTTATTGCCTGCGGGATTGACCAGCCCTAGCTGATGGTCCCTGTCGCAGTCATCACCAAAGCGGGAATGGTTCTGGATCAGAGACTACGTGCACCACATGCACACAGACACACACACGGACACAGACACACGCGCGCACACACACACACTCACACACACGTGTACACGCATAACCCTCCCTCCTAGCATTCCACACTATAACTCCTGGTGTCTCATAGTGCTACTGAAGCACTTCCTGTCAAATCATGCAATTATCAAGATGGACGGGCCGTCAGCAGCCGACTCAATAAATCACCCCCCGCGGCCCAGCCCAGCCCAGACCACTGAGAAGCCGTCTTTCCTGGGGGGTTCCCTGCAGGGCCACATTCTTAGTCTCAGTGCACAGCTTTGCTGCACCTTGTTTCTTTAACATCTAGACTCCGCAGCTCTTCATGTATGCGAGTGCATGTATGCTTTGGTTATGTTTCTTCATCTATAAGATACACATAATCTCAATGTTTTGCATGCTTATACATACACACAAGTATGCTCACACTGTACATATATATATGGTTATATATAGGTGTGTGTGTGTTTATATTTCATTGTGGGAAACCATTTTTCAGAAAACTAAAAATGTCTAATTTTTTGCTTGGTCCAGGTTAGGGCTGGGTAGTGGTCATCATGTTGGCATTAGGGTTATACCCATAGAAATGAACGGAGAGTCCCCACGAAGATATAATTACAAACATCTCTGTTTGTGCGTGTGTGTGTGTGTGTGTGTATCAGCACTGCAATACCCGGGTCAACTAAGTGAGTCACTGGCTCTACCTTTTGATCTGTAGGGTCAGCCAGGCTGGACTTGAATCCCCTGGGGACTAGACATCTTATCTCCCATCTTTGCACTGATGTAACCTCACCGGCCCCCCAACCATGCCACATACTATCACACACATATCTCTACAAGGACTCTCCATTCATTTCTCTGAGCATAACTCTAATCCAAACTAAACTTAACCATAAGTAACCAAACAAAAAACAAATAAACGTTTCCCCTTGTGGGGACCAAAAATGTCACTGCAAGGTCAAAATAACAGGTTTTTAACAACATATACATGGACCACACACACACATATGCACACACACACACACACACATAAAGTGAAACATAGATACTAATCAGCACATTATTGGAGCCACATGGAACTCTTCGAGACTGATGCCAACTGCTTCTTTTGAGGCCAAGCAAATGTCCAAAAGGGAGTCAGAACTCTCTATGAAGACAAACTTTTTAAGGGATCTTCTAATCAGGGCCACACCCCACCCTAAAGCAGGCAATGGGAAGAAAGGAGCAAAATAAGACTGAGGGAAAGGACAGAAGAAGCAAAGACCGGGAATACAGCATTGGGCAGGAATCCGGAATGCAAAATGACTAACACAATTGCACAACCCATAACAAGCTCATGCAGTGCCTGGAGCTACGACAGACTTGAGTGCATTTTTTCCTGAAGAGACCTGAGTTGAGGGTTGTTGTGGGCTTAGAGGGGTGCTGCTGGTGGCTGAACATTTGTCAGATGTTACCTATTTCACAGTGACTGGGGGGGGGGGCTATGAGGTGAAATAGGTTTGTGTCTGATACAATTTATGGAGGACCAGAGCTTTATACAGATGCGTTCGCGAGAGAAACATTCTTTGCTGGAGTTCCCCAAGGGTCACAGGTGCATGTGTTCCGGAACGAGTGCCTGACCAACAGGAAGATGAAAGAGGCCGACAATACTACACATCACAGGTCACCTACCTTATACCCCCACTGAGAAAGGCAGGGATTGTAATCTTGATGATAGGTTCAAACCAAAAAGTGATGGTGGTGGTGGGGGAGAGCTAAGGAATAGGGAGGTAGGCACAAGGAACAAACCAGCTGGTTTAATATCAACAGGTTGATAGTCTATTACCAAAATCCACCTCCAGCTTTGGATGTCACACATCTGTGGTGAGCTCCTTTATATTAAATATATTTTATTTTTGTATTTTTGTTCACTGCATTATCTCTTATAAAAATGACATTTTGTATGGGTAAAAATATAGTAATGTTAGACACAGAAAGTATAAACACAAAACACTCAAAATACCCTTGGCTCAGACATAACTACACAGCAAAGTAGCAAACCCCCCCCCCCCCCACTGCTCCTGTCCAGCCCATGCAACTGCTGGGCTCCCCATGGCACTAAAGCCCCCAGCAATCCCTGGATTGGTTCCTGAAGGATGGGAAAGAGATGGGGAGGCAGTTCCCAGGATCCCTGCACCATCCTGGGAGGGCACCTGGGCCCAGGCCACCAGAAATGTGTGGCACTGAGGGGCGATAAGAGACAGCATCATGTTGTGGGATCCAATCATATTCTTCCTCCCTCACGTCTCTCCAATTCCCTCCAAAACATGCACACTCACACACTCACTCACATACACCCCCAAACATAATAGACACACACACGTGCAACACACACGCACGCACACACACACACACACACAGAGGGTGACCTCCTTCCCAAGCACAAACAGTCCCACGAAAATGGTCAACATAGTCTGAAGAAGCTGCTCATACTGTAGGAATCAAGCATATCAGGCTACTGCACAATGGGAGATGCTGGTACCACCGTGTCTGTAGGGTTGGAATGAGTGATGTCTCAGGTATATTATACCATTTGGTGTAGATTCATTGTCAAGGACTTAAAGGCTTAGTACAATACATATTGCTACAAAACTGCACAGAGTCAATATTTAAAAGAAAAACACATGAATAAACTATTCCTGACAATTGAAGTTAATGATGTCAAAATGCACAGGCAGCTACATTACAATGACATAAAACTCTACCCACCTGAAAATGTTTCATCTCATAACTGCACCCTATAGCTCCTGGAATAGACCTTAGGCTCATTGGAATGTGGAAGGCCCATCCTGGAAAAACGATTATGCAAAATCGATGGATATATGAATGGTTATTTTACACTTTTTGGTGCATTTCGCTATAGCAGAATTTGAATAAAAATCTGGGGACTCCCTTTATGTAATTAATCATGCATCCTGAGGTACAACTGGCAACATACCTTAACTAACTTGTATGTAAAATTTAAGAAATGAAATAAAGTGAAAATGCTATGTACATGGAAAATACAGAAATGTGAAGCTTTGCAGTAACTCCCATTATTAAAAGAGACTGACGAGAGTGAGTGTGATGTTGGTGTTTATGCTGTGGCTCACAGAGACCTGAGGAACATGACCTTCTCATAGTGTGCTTGGCTCAAAGTCCACTCAGGTGTTGAGGGACTCCCAGGTGGTATGGCTGCAGGCGAGGAGTTTGGGTGGGGGGCGTTTTTGAGCGTCTGTCTGGGGCACTGTGTGGCAGCTGGGTGATCCTTGATCCCAGGCTCCGTTGGGGTCTGGGGGTGGGGGGGTGGTTCGCTCAGGATCATGCAGGATGTGTGTCTGCAGGGCAGGTATTTCAGCATAGCTCTGAAGGAAAAAAAACACACACCACTACTACCTCTGCCTGGGTGGGCACAATTTCCCGCCTCTACTGCATCTTATTACCCTTTATTAAAGGTGCAGAACCAAGCGGGCAAACAACAGGCAAAAAAAGGAAAAAAAATGCACAAACTCGGTACTTGTGATGAAATGATGAAATAGGCTGAGCTCCCATTCAGTTTACATGTAGCATATCTGAACTCAAACAAAGAGAAGTTGTAATGTAGGTTCCCAAAAGCTTGGCTTCCTGTGTCACTCTTTGTCTCAGGTTTTGAGGTAGGCCCTGTTCATTAACTGCCATTTCACAAAGCAGTGATTTATAGCCCTTTACATGTTTCTTTGTAATTACAGTGAAGAATGGGTGCAGTGTTGCAATAAATACTGTAGGATCAAAATTACTTGGCAAGCAAAGATTCAGATGTCTATAAGATAACTCTGAATTGAATATATCCTTTTGGGATTATGTGTCAATCCAGAATGAACATCGTTGGATTTCTGCGAGACTAATTTACTTTGTCCAGAAAGAGATCTAGCTTTTGTACCTTTTTATACTAGCATTACCTGTGATGATGTCCCAACTTTAAAAGAAGAAATGCAAGGAGGGTGATCTTCTCGATACATTTTTTGTTTTTTAGAAATTAAAGGAATTTGTCATATGTGAATCTACTACTGTGACATAGCCTGCATCATGGCGGCAGTCAATACAGATGAAACTTCCCACACTGCACACCTGCAGCCAGAGGGCGATGGAGAAGGTGTAATCAGGAAAGCCTGGTTGGGTGTGAGGTCTGTCTGTTATCCCTCTATGTGAGACATGATCAGTTGAAAGACTTGCTGTCGCTGGAGGACACATTCGGCTGATCGGTGTGACCTCAGCAGAGATGAGCAGAAAATGGATCATGAGCCATGCTTTGACAGGCTTCTTAGTGGGCTCTCTCTCCCTCCTCATCTTGCTCTCCCTCCCTGTCTTGGTCTCACCCTCCCTTCTACTTAGTGTCCACTGTCTCTCCCTGTTCTTCCTCACCTGTCCAAAGAAGATGTTGTGACTTCTATGGAGCATGAGCAGGAAAAAGCAAGAAGCAGCATGAACAGCAGTGGTTTGTGGCCCAGAGGAAAAGAGGCCCCCTCTGTTAAAGAATTCTTGCCTGGAGAAACAGGGAGTCTTGCGGCGCAACTGTCTCACCCTTCAGATGGCTCTGCAAGGGTAAACATCAACACAGAATCAAAGCCAGCTATATCCATGTCAGAAATCACTACACATCACCATCAATCTGCCCTAGAGGAACTGGCCGGGTATTATCTTTGTTCCCTGGCTCCAGTGATGAGCAGGGAGGAATGATATTTGTGTAGAGCAGTCTTTTTTTGCAGAGGGGCTAGGACTGCCCCAGGACTACTGTCTGCAACAGATAGCAATTGTTTCTCTGAGGGGCCCTTGTTGACATTTTGTTAAAGTATTACAGATTAATTCTACAAATCAATGGCTGCATTTGCTGAGTCCAATCAACAAAACAGATGATACATCAATTAACAAATATCATGATGTCTTTATGACAGCCTGGGACTTTTCACCACTTTACGAATGACTGATATTCTAGATTATGTCATTGAACACAAGAATCAACAGAACTAAAAAATGACCTCAGACCAAGATGTGGAAAATACGGAAATTAGTCAAGTAGTAAGCAATGAAGTCATAGGTGTTGCCTTTAAGCATCTCTCTCTATATCGTACCACTCCTCTCACATCTTATGTCTTGTGCCAATGATGAGCATAAAATGTAAGTAAAGATGTAACAAAGGTTTAAATCCTTTCATTTCTATTCTTAACAAAAGTAACAAAATGAAGACCATGAGGAGTCACTCAACCATACACCTTACAACAAAACAAAAGTTTTCAGGTTTAGAATCGGCTGTCAAAGTAGCTGTCACAGCAGATTGAAATACCAAAAATAATTTTTTATTGTTCAAAATGACAGTAATTTTTAAAAAAATATCTTGTTATATGTTTATATCTACATATTTTACTATAAATATTTGTTATATAACAAATCATTGTTATATTTAACACAAAAGACACTTAAAAGGGATTTGACTGCATTAGCTGTATGATTAGCTGGGCAGGAAACTGTACTGCAGCAGGTATACCTCAACATGTCTCTGTAAGTACTCAGTGGTCACATGATCATTTCTACATGAGACTAATAGCACATTTATATGCTATCCATGCAACACAATTCCTTTGTGGCAATCATTAAAAAAGACAAGTTTCCGACTACAACAGATCAAAACTACGCCATGTTTATATCAGTGGAAAAAAATGAAGGAAAGTGGTTAGACAAATGATTTACCATAACATCAAATTTAGTGATGATCTATGACTTAACTATTAATGTACCTGCTATATGTGTGAACATACTTATACAAAAGCTGATTTTGACATTTAGGGTTGTATGCTTGAATCAAACCTCTGCTCTGTGTGTTTGGAATTGTACATATTTCTGTATTTTCTCTTCTTGTTGTGTGCGTTTCCTGCTGCTGTCCAAAGATACAGAGTTAAGCTAACTAGTGTCTTTAAATTGCTTGCAGTATGTCCCCTTTGGTGGACTGGCATTCCATTCATATGCTGGACCCTCTGCTATGTGCCCTGCCTGGCATGGGCCTCTAGTGACCTTGCTCAGGATAAGCAATTAGAAGATTGATGGTAATTATTAATTATTAACTTTTAATAGCATACATCATTTGTTTGTCTTTTCCATATGTTAATTTCTTGTCTATAATATAGCTTTGTCTCAATATTAATACACTGGAGGCAAAAACTGTGCGTAAAAGTGTATACAAGTGATACTTGTTATAATATTTAACTGATTTCTTGAACATATGTATTCCTGAAAAAATATGGTATTTATCTTATGTGTTTGTAACATGTGCTCAAAGTTGGCATAAATGATGTTTCATTATTGGTTTATTAATTAACTGATGTAAGCATTTAAAGTGTTAAATTCAATTTCCAAAAGGGACATAAAGACAAACTGAAAATATACAATAATCAAAACACACGAAGAATCCTTTAATTATGCATTAGTGCACTATTTGTACGTTTTATCATTAACGTCTATCAGTAATTACTTTTAAGCAAATGACTTCCTTATATCGAGTCACAATGACTGCTTCGAAACGTCTTGTAAAAAATACATAACACAATTATAACAACAATTTAAATCGAAGTAATATTTACTTAAGTTAATTTTTAAGTACTGTATTCGCACATGAACCAACGATCTTCTTTTTTCATTCAGGCGAATCGCAGCCTACCTAACTGGGGTCCTTTTTGGTGATGATGTGGAAACTGGTGATGATGTATACTTTCGCATTGAAGGCTCATGGTCTAAATTCATTCAGGATAACCGTTTGCGTTTTTATTTACATAGTTTATAGATAAAAAAAATCGGTTGTGACACCCCGTGCCATTTCCAGCAGTCATTCGTCTCCCGTTTGTTGGAACGTCACGAAACATGGAGACTTTATATCACGAAACAAATAAGTAAGTGTAGTTAGGAACTGTGTTGGTAAGAGTTGTCATCTTAGCTTTGTTTTTACTTATTACTGCGCAAATTGTGGCTGGCATCACGTTCAGGCTAACTAGGGAACATTATATCCTTAATTATATTATTCGGAACAGTGCAACGCGTCTGTTGTGATAATACCCGGAAATTGTTGAGGTTATATATCTCTTATGAATTTACTACTGAAATAAGCGTGAGTGAGTCAGTTACTATGCATTTACCCCAAATTATTACTTTTAAACTAGGTACTACAAAATAACACCTGGCAGTCTACAGAAGTTCTGTATGTCAGCTATTTATGGGTGCCGTGCGTATGTGTGCATATAAACCAATGTCCTTTTATTTGATGCGGGTTATTTCTTGGCATTGGTGTGTAATATTATAGACTGTTATTTTTTTTCTTTTGCCTAGACAAATCCAAGATGTACAATCCAGAATGGGGCGCCTTGAAACGACAGACCGGGAGTACATCGGATGTGAGTTCGTACGACTTAATTCCTTTATTTTAATTAGGCTAGATGAAAAATAAGTCTGGATTTGGCACAATGTATATGTGCAGTGCTTTGTCGCTTCACAGAGGTTTTCTGTTTAAGTGGGCAGGCGTCTTTGTAGGGAAAATCTGTGGTAAATCCGTTGCCTTATGTCACAGCTGTTCCTCCTAATAGTCACCCTTAAGTCTTTATAAGGACATTTTAAGAGTTACGTTTCTGTGAAACTCCTCTTTTGAGCAAGTCAGTCTGCGACTTCCTGACGAGCGTGGGTTCCTGTTGTGAAGGGGGGGTGTCATCCTTATTGTTTCCTGGGTTGGGGATGGGGATGGGGATGGGGGGTGGGCTCAGAGCCATCCTGGTGCCAGGGCAGGAAAGTAGAGTGGTGCACCCAGCTAAGATAATGAAGCAGTCTGTTGAATCCCCATGACATCACCTTACAGTACCTGTCAACAAGTGACAAGATGTGTCATTTACTGCAGGTCATTGTGGGTGGCTGGACCATGTCCAAGGAAAATTAGCTCCCTATGATGCCATGAAAATAAGTTGATATTATGAACTTTAATGATCTGAAAGTGTCATGAATGAGCTGACGAATAAGTAGACTAGTTCAGAATGATGAAATTGTTTGTTATCCTGCTTGACCTAAGATGAATTTAAATAACATGATATGAAATCTCTCTGTGGATTAATTGTACTTTTGTCTGGGTCTGAAGTGCTGGAGGAGGAGCTGCAGGCAAAAATTAACCAAATCTTCCGTCACCTGGAAAGACTGGAGATATTGGCCAGCAAGGAACCACCGAACCGGCGGCAGAATGCCAAGCTGTAAGACACAAGGCTGCTCGTGGAGTTCCTTTTCCTGAGTTTTGGGGTATCCTGTCTGCTAATTGCTGCTCCTTTTGTGTGGAGAATGTCACCTGAAACAATTTAAGTTAAATGCGGAATCGAAGAATCTTCTGCTAGAGGAGGAACTACCTTTTTCAGCAAGCTGGGGTTAGGATAAGGAGAGACACTGATAACTTGATGTCTGATTATTCAAATGAAGAGCTTGGTTATTGTATTCTTGAGAAAGGCGTTTCACTTGACTTGCTTCAGTGGTGGGGAAAGACTGATATGGGAAAATTAAGGTGTGTTGGATAAAAGTTCTGAATAAAAGTCATTACTACTACTACTAATAGTAATAATAATAATAGTTATTGATTTTACTTTTGCTGAATATATTTCTTTTGAAATGGAAATTTTTCACTAGGAAAATCTAAGAACTTTAACATCACACATAGAGAAATAAAACCTACAGTCCCTTTAGCTCCTCAGGACACCCACCTTTGCCAATTCTGTGCTGCTACAGGCCTTGCATGCACCAATATTGGGGTGAAAGGTATACAGTATCCTACGAAATTCCCAAAGAAAACCCAGTAGCCACCAGTCAACATGTTTTCAGGACTGAGTATGTCCTTTGAGTTCAGCAAACACCTTCTGAACTCAACTGCTATGCAGTTCAGTCTAGAACAAAATGCGTATGAAGTGGGTTGTGACGCGTCAGTGTAACTATAGTAAATTTATTATCATAGTGAATTATTGTAGGCCAATGAGGATTAGAATTGTTATTTTTATAAACATGGTATTTCATCAGTGTGACGAGAACCTGTGCTGGACCCTCCACAGACGAGTAGACCAGTTGAAGTATGACATCCAACACCTTCAGAGTGGCCTTCGCAATTTCCAGCAGAGACGATATGTCCGTGAGGTCCAAGAGCGTGAGAGGGACGAGCTGATGGCCCGTACCTTCACCACCAATGTTAGTGTCACAGCGCTCTGCAAAGTTGTATTGACTCTATCTTCTAAATGCCCCTAACTGCTGCTGCTCATTCCAGCCTTTGCCCTTGTTTTGTTATGTAGCCCGTTTTGGGGCAATTCTGGCCGTCATTGGTCATACGAGCTGATATGTCTCCCACACTTAGGATGCCGACACCTCCATCTCGATCGACGAGACACTTCAGTTCAACACCAGCCTGAACGATGCACACAAAGGCATGGATGACCTTCTTGCAAGTGGCGGCAGTATCCTAGATGGCTTGAGGGACCAGCGGAGCACATTGAAGGTTGCACTCAGTATTTGGACATTCTGTGTTATGTGTGAGATGTTGGGAGGATGATAGGCTGAGCTAATGTTCCTAGGGAGAATGCCCTTTCTGCCTCTGGTCCTAGATTCCCTTTTATCTAGGCGTGTCCTGGGTGATGCTGTAGATTCTCTTTGGCTGGAATGGGCAGGGAAAAGGAAGGAAAGACGAACTCCATTGTTCAGCCTTTCACACACTAGAGGATTGTTTGCACCCTGCAGCTGTTCAGAAAACCTCACTTGCTCTTAATGAAACATGGTGACTTACTTGCTAGGTTCGTAGTTTTGGTCATGTTTTTTTAGTAATTTATAAACGCATTCTTAATGCATTATAATACATCCATAAAGCATTACAGACATGGCCATAAATATTTATAAAAAGGCATAACACATTACAGCCATGTGTGCTATGTATTATGAATGCTTTTATGAAGCTCTCATCTATAATGCACTATGCAGTAGATACCTTTATAATGCCTTATAACAGTCAGTATAAACATCCTTAATGCTTATACTGACTGTTATAAGGCATTATAAAGGTATCTACTGCATAGTGCATTATAGATGAGAGCTTCATAAAAGCATTCATAATACATAGCACACATGGCTGTAATGTGTTATGCCTTTTGATAAATATAGCCATGTTTATGCTTTATGAATACATCCTTTGTTATGAATGTGAAGTGAAAGTGCTTAGTTGTTGTTGACACACCACAGTACAACAAAAAAATATGTCCTCTGCATTTAACCCATATGTGACATCGTGACATAGCAGGGGGTAGGTAATTCAGTACCTGGGGAGCAGTACCTTGCTCAGGGCACCTCAGTGGTACTTTGCTTGTCGGGGATTTGAACCGGAAGTCTTTTGATTACTTCCATAGCCATTAGGCCACCACATAAATGACAAAAACCATGGCCTTCAGTAAAGTATTACTGTAGTGTTCACTCAGGAACCCTCATAGTGTTCACTCAGGAACCATCAGCGATTACACATGTTAAGGTTCCATCAGCAGTGGACCCAATTCCACTGATAATCTACTCATGAAACCCTTATTAGCCAGTGCAGAAGTTTGAGAACCAGTGTTCCAAGAATGTCTGTGAGTCCAGTAGCACCTGCACCCTGAAGAACACCTGTACTGCTCCATACTTCTGCAGGGCACCCACAAGAAGATGCTGGATGTTGCCAACATGCTGGGGTTGTCCAACACGGTGATGCGTCTGATTGAGAAGAGGGCCTTCCAAGACAAATTCATTATGATTGGTGGCATGCTGGTCACCTGCATCGTCATAGTCTTGGTAATTAAATACCTGAGCTAAGGGGAGCCAGCTACTGCCACCACAACCCTGTTGGCAGAGCAAGAGGATGAGCTACTGCCAGGGTACTTGAGGGGTTGAGCACATCAACACCCTTTGTGTGTCTTTATCATCATGACACCATGATCGTACGCCACACAGGCAAGTGTTGATTTTTTTTCCTTTTTTTTAAGAAAAGGACAAGTTATTGAAAACCTTCAGCATTCTGAAATCTTGAATACTGCTCTATTAGATGGAATGTACATGAAAATGGAGTGCAGACATAACATTGAATTGTGAAAAAAAAAATCAACCTAGAGGAAAGTATCCAATTATCTGTGATTGTCTCAGTGAAGCGGAGTGATTTTTTTTTGCGGAAGCATTTTGAGAACGCAGAGACCTACAGCTTGATGACAGGGAAAGACCCTCCCGAAGGATTTCCTGCCAATGTTACTGAGCTTCAGGCAGGCGTTCCCTGTAAACTCATGGCGTCGCACACAGATTTACCACGACGGCTGCACTTCTGGTCCTTTCCATGCACTTCTTCAGTGGCACACCACAGATGAGGAGTTCTAGTCTGAAAGTCATATTCAGAGGAATTTTACGAAGGAGTTGTGTGGATTAAGATGTGAATGAATCACCTGCATGATTCAGTGGGTAATGCATTTTTTAATAGTTCTAAATATGTCTAGTACTGAAGTTTAATTCTGTTCCATGACCCCTGAATTTTTTTGAATTTCAGACCAGATGGTAACAGGAAGCAAATTCTGACTTGTACCTATATATCCATTGCCTGACCCATAACATAAAAAAGCATTTCTCATAACTGTTATAATACACAATAATTAATGCTTAAAAATAATTTAAATGTCAATGTATTTTTTACCATTATTCTTATAAAACCAATTGTGGTTTGAAATGCAATGGCTAAAATGTAGCATGTCAGAATTTAATGAGAGGAGTCAAATCTTTAAACTGTCGGTGGTCTGGATGAGTAATAACTAACCCAGTGCCGCAGAGAGGTGAATACAGCAAACACCTTGCAGGCAGGAGGATGTATGTCAACAGGATCTTGGGCTTTGGCTCAAAATGTGCCCTCAGGAGAGCTGCAGAAAAATTCCACCTTTCTGTCTTCCCCGCTGGTGCATGTCTCTCAACTGTCAGGAAATTAGATTTTTTTCCTTCCTTCCAGTGAATCGCCAATGTCTAGTCCGAGAACAACTGTTTGTGTTGTCCTTTTCACTGTTTTGATCGAAAGCCGCCTCCAAGCAATGTAAAAACAAACGGTTTGGGTAATATTTCTGCACAATGGGTCTGTTACCAATCATAAGCAAAGCTGGGGACTTACTAGAGTCTCAACAAAGGCCCAGCAGAAATGTGAATATGATGGTCTGTATGGACTGAAAATGTGTTTTTGTTAATAGTTTTGCCCTATTTCTTGCTTTTGTTTGGATTAAAATTGACATATAAGTTCTGTGATCAACTGCTCTTGCTTCAGTTTTCCTTTCATGTCCAGGAAGGCAGTTTTAATGTGACAGTCTGATTTGATCCATTTTATATATAATGCATTAGTATGTCTCTTTATATTTGACTGTTTTCCTCTATTGTTATTCAATCTTTTTTGTGAATTCTTCTACACTGCTTTATCCTGCAGACCTTTAAAAAGCTGGTTTGTCTTTCCATGATGAAAGGTTTTCGTGAATTAGATCATTTTTGCTTTCTTTTCGGATTTCCTTACTGTGATAAGTGAGCAATCACCAGTACTATACTCATTTCCTTCTGAATCTTACATATTTATAACAACTTGGTTTAGTGAGTGAATCTTTTGGATCTGTCGTAACTTATGTCAGTCAAATGGATAGGGTAGCAGTTAATTTGTCCCGCTGTGAAACCCGTTTCAAAGTTGTTAAATTCCCAGAGCAGTACTTCAACACCAGTTGGGCGAGACTGATTCCATAAATTTTTTTATTATAAAGAAGCATTTTACAGCAATATTGCAGTCAGATGTTGACAGTTCAATAAAACTGCTTTGAATAATGTTACTGTATTCCTTCCACTGTACACTTATTTACAGCAATAAGCCTTGAGCACATGAGCTTGTGATGAAAGGTCATAAATAATGCTTTAAATTCAGCAGGAGCAAAAACCAGATCACACACAGAACCAGCAGGTTCACACACTACTGCCTTCCCCAGCTGCACACAGGCCCATTTCTTTAACTGGCAGGGGTGCCCAGCCCTGGGCACAAGAACATTTTAGCACCTGATGGACACTGAAGCCCAGGTGAGGTGATTTACAGTCCAAAACATGTTACATAATGCAACAAAGGGCTTGAGCGGAGCAAAACCTAGAATGTCTTTTGGCCCTGAGGGACAGGGTTTAGCATCCCTGGTGTATGGTGACAGAGCTCTCCTAAAGCTCAGCCAAACAGCTGAGGCCCTCTAGTGGCAGCTGATGAGACTTTTTTTTTCTTTTTTTTCCTTTTTGGATCAGAGAAACACAGACAAATATGTCCTTATCCATCTTTGCTTACAACTGTCATATCTCAAGTGCTGGTCTTTATGTACAAGAGGGGTGGAGCAGAAGGCACAGTGCTCAGCTGTTAACTACCTGTAAAAGCCAGGATAGGCAATACAGGTGTTTAACCATTGAAAGAAAATTCATACAACACTCAAAAGTTGACTTTTGCGCTATATATATATATATATATATATATATATATATATAGTGAACAGTACCAGTTCTGCTAAAATACACATGCTTAGTACTTGTTTTAATTTTGTCTCACAGTCCTTGTATATTACATTTCATTAGGCATAGGGGCCAAACCAAAAACTCTTCCAGCCATCTATATGACAGCATCCATATTTACAGAGGGAAAAAAACATGCTGCTTCAGAAGATCCACCTGAAAAACCATTCATGAAAAAAAAAAAATTGCAGTACCCTACAATCATAAGTTACATGCTACAAAAGCAGCATGGTACTGTTTCAGTGCAATCAATGTTTCACAATGAGTATGACCTTTTAATCCATGTGAGTGTTTATGTGTCTCTGTGTACATGGAAGGGCATTTTATTACCCAAGGTGGATTTTAGGGCGGTACTGTGCTTTGGGGAATTAAACTCCGAGAGCCCTTGTCATCAGTTTATATTCTGTGGTCTATTCCACACAGCCAGTTGAAAGTAATTACACAGAGTTAATAAGTTAGCAATATTTGTACATTTACTGACAAATATGATTGATGAAATCAGAACTCGTAAACCACTATTCGTTTTGACTAGATGTAGGCTGAAAGACACGTTAATATAAATGGGATGTAACATCCACTCAAGTGTCTTACGTCATTTTCACAACTACAAAAAGGATGAAGCAAACACAAGACCATTGTACGGCCATATGCTGATAACAGCAAAGTTAGCTAGAGAATACCATTTATTATTTATTATTTCCTTAAGGACCCCTCAGGATTAACTTGCTGGTTATTTTTAGGTCAGGTATTTTGTAAGGTCCTTATTTGTTACTTTCTTCACATACTGCATCCCAAACCCAACTTATGGCTTCAGCCATTGCATCTCTTTGGCTGTTGGAAACAAACTTGATACATTAATCTCAACTACAACAACAGGAACAACAACAACAATAAAAATACTCCAGTGTTCTGGTTTTCTACAAAGTCTGCAAATTTCTCTCATTGTGCCTGCACCCAAAACTCCAGCAAATCCATTCTTCTGCCTCAGTGAAAATCCAGATTCCAGGTCCTGCTCAGAATCTGGAGATGTAGAAGTTTGAACCCCCACCCCCCTCCCCTCCCCTCCCCTCCAGCAGTAGGTCACCATCACAACGCAGCAAACCACACTACCAGAGGTCCCATCCAAGACAGCAGACTGGTTTCACATACCCAAGGACGACCAGTGTTGCTTTCAGGCTCTTAGGCAACTGTGGCCTCTTCTGCGTTGGCCACATGGCTGTCAGGCTGGGGAAATAAAGAGGCTGGTGTGGGTGTGGCCACCAGTGCGAACTCCACTCCTGCCCCGGGCAGCCCTGTGTGACAGCTTGCCCTCAAGAGCCATGATTTGGAGGGTGTTGGAGGTCCTGCCCAGAGAAGATGGGGTGCAGAAGGGGATGCAAGTGCAGGGCTGCGGCAGCAGCAGCCGCAGTGGGGCGGGGCGCGAAGAGCGTGGGGTAGAGAGCCGCGTGTGGGACATGATGCAAAGCCAATGGGGTTGGATGCAGGGCAGAAGCAGGTATAATGTGGATAGGCTGTCCGGAGAGAAAGGCAGTAGGGTGGGCGGGGATCAGGGAATGCCCCAGGGAGTGGCCTAGAGTCGGACCAAGGGGGGACAAGGAGATGGGGGTGAGGTGGTGCTGAGGAATATGGTGCACCTGAGCCAGCTGGTGCGGATGGGGGTGCTGAGCATGGGGATGGATGCCGATGGCAGCTGCCGTGGCGGCGTGGTGCTGCAGGATGGCGTGCTGCACGGTGGTGATGGACGTGGCTGAGGGGGAGGCCGCCGGCTGCTGGATGTGAATCTGCTGCAGGGCCGGGGGAGGGGGCGCGGGGGTCAGGCTGACGGCATGTGCGGCTGCTGCCGCCGCTGCCGCTGCCGCTGCCGATGGGAAGCTCTTGACCTGCTTGGCCAGCAGCTGCTGCTGGATGTGCTGCTGGGCTGCCTGCTGCAGCTTACTATACTTCTCCATCTCCTCTGGGGTGAAGGTGATGGGCTGGCTCTCCAGGGGAGCCAGGGAGGAGTCCTCCTCCGTCTCCATGCCCAGGTCTTCTTCTTCCATGCCAAGGGGGGCATACCCGGGATAGGAGTGCAGGGGCTGTGTTTGTTGCTGCTGCTGTTGGTGCTGCTGCTGCATGTCTGGCAGGAGGGGCTCCAGTCCCGGGGTGGGGGCTTCTTGTCCTGGCTCGGTCGGGTATGACTGAACCAGCAAGCCTGGCTCTGTCTCGTACAAGCCGGATTCTGGAAGAACCTGGGCCTCACCAGGGGGCATCCCAATGGGGTCCTGAATTACCCCAGCCTTCGGACTTTCCTCCAGTTGTTGGGGAGGAGGGGGTGGAGGGGGTGGTGGGAATTCCCGAATGGGCTCCACTAGGATCACTTCGCCCCCAGTGTCCGCGCTCTCGCCTGACACTGCCTTCTCCACCTCCTCTGGCCGGCGCAGTGACGGCGTGGGCTTCCTGCCTGCTGGGAGCTTCCCAAACAGAGGCAGCATAGCCTTGTTCCCAAGGGAGGGTGGCAGCTTGGGCCCGAAGTAGCCCTGGGGAGGGTCCTTCGGTTTGACCCCTGCCTTGACCCCCGTGGTGCTCTCCTCCGGACCCTTGCGTGACTGAACCTTCTCCAGCAACTGCCTGGCCGTCAGGGAGTTGCGCTCCCTCGAACCTCCCCTATTGGCGGTGGTGCGGCTGGTGCTACTGCCCCCACCCCCTCGGGGGTGGCCCACAGAAGAGCTGTTATTCCAGGACGAGTCCTTGCGAGGGACACCCCGGGAGGAGGAACGCGGAGACTGTGAGCGGTAGATGCGGGAGCGGTTGAAGTCGCGGCGGTGGCTGGAACCGGCACGGCCATGCTGGCGGCGGGAGGGGGAGCCCTTGGAGCTGGAGGAGCGGCTGACGGAGCTGCGGCTGCGGCTGTAGCTGCCGCGCCTCCAGGAGGGGGCGCTGCTGCTGCCGCCGGAGCTGCGGGAGCTGCTGCGTCGCCGGCGCCTCGGACGGCTGCTGCGGCTGCGCGAGCGGCTGGATTCTGCTTCCGAGGACGACGAGGAGTAGCAACGGCGGCGGTGCCGGGACCTCCGGGGGCCATATTCCGAATCAGAGGAACGCTTGGAGTGACGGCTGTCCTCGCTGTAGGCGCTGTAGTCACTGTAGCTGTCGCTGTAGCTGCGGCTGCGCCGGCTGTAGCGGCTGCTGCCCCCGGAGGACCACTGTGAGCTGCTGGAGTAAGAGCGGCTGCGGGATGAGCGCGCTCTGGCCCGGCGCCGCCGCTGTTGCTGACTGCGCCGCCGTGACGACCGGCTGCGGGAACGCTCTGAGTCCTCGCTGTAGTGCCGCTGCCGTGACGTGGAATTGTGTCGGTGGGAGCGGTGGGAGGAGCCGCCGTCCTCACTGTCACTGCTACCCCGCTTGCCGCTCCGCTTCTGTGCCGGGCAGGACGCTGAGCCGCTCAGGGGGTCCGCAGGCCTGGGGTCGGGCTTATGCCGCTTGGCGCTGTTATGCTCCTCCGAGGTCCCGGGCTTCTCAGCGCCTCTCCCCACCTCCTCCTCATCCCCTTGCTTCCCAGGCTCCTCCTTCACTGGCCGCTTCCTCTTGCCGGCCTCGGAGGTCTCCACATTCCCCTCCTCATCCTTGCCCTTCTCCTCTTCGGACACCCTGTTCTTGCTTTTCTTTCGCTTGTGCTTCTTTTTCTTCTTCTTCTTCTTCTTCTTCCCTTTCTCCCCCGCAGCCTCCCCCTCATCTCCCTCTCCCGCCCCTTTATCCCGGTCTTTTCGCCTCAGGCGCTTGCCAGACTTCTTGTGCTTTTTCTTCTTCTTCTTCTTCTTGCTGCTGCTGTGCTGAAGCTTCTGGTTGTCCTCTCCTCCATCCCTCCTATCCCCCTTGTCCGTGCCGGAGCCTGGGGCCAGTGGGTCCCCGGGCCCCTCAGCCGGCTCCGACTTGCCGTCGGATACAGCAGCGCTGGACTGTTTCCCGGCACGGGCTCCCTTGTTGCGTGAGAGCTTGAAGTCAAAGTAGAGTGGGTTGCAGCTATAGGACAATGACGGCTGGGCACGTGTGAACTCCAAAAGCTCAGAGGGCCACTGCAGGGTGGTGCTCTCATCCTTGCTGAGGACAGGGAAGAAGGGGCCCGTGAGGAGGCGGGGTCCCACGTGAGGCTCGCCTGTACCGCGGCTGCTCTCTGGGGGCTCCTTTTCAGCACCTTCCTGCTCAGCCTTCACTTGGGGGGCTTCAGCAGTGGCAGATTCCAAGACCGGCAACTCGGGTGGAGCATCTGGCTCTTTTTTGTCTTTGTCATCATCACTCTGCTGCTGCGCAGGACTGCCTGCCACCTGCTGCTGCTCCTCTTCTTCTTCCTCTTGGTTCCCGGTCTGGTCTGAGGCCTTCATGAAAACGAGGAATTGGAAATTTGGCTTCACGCGACAGTGAGCTGGCGGCACATAGTGATAGTACTGGGGCTCCTGGCCCGAGACGCTCTCATCCTTCTTCATCATCATCTTCAATTTTGAGAGGGTGGAGGCCAGGGAGCTCCCTTCATCCACCTCCTGCTGCTGCTGCTGCTGCTGCTGCTCCTCCTCCTCCTCCATGCTGGGGCTTTCTGCACTGGTCGCCCTTGGTGTCCCCGATGCCTCCTCCCCCTCCTGGCCCTCCTCTACCAGAGCCTCCTCCCCATGGTCCGTGAACACCGCGGCTGCGGTCTCCAGTTTGACCGGGGTTTTCTTGGCGAAGGAGAATGACACACTGACCTTGGGCATTGGGGCGGCAGCAGAGGAGGGTGAGGATCCGCTACAGTTCACGGAGAAGCCAGCTGCAGCCACTGACTTGGGTGAGGGGGCACCATGGCTGGCAAGCACCTTGTCTGGGGCTGGGGGCCCCTCAGTACACAGATCTCCAGCAGAAAGACCCTCTGAGGGGCCCTCTTCCCCTGCCTCACCATCCACAGCCACAGTGGTGGGCTTGAACATGGGGCCGCTCCCAAGGGCACTGTAACAGACACAGATGCTCATGAGATGCAGCCCTCACAGCTGTATGGCAGCCGGCCTGTGGGGGGCAGCACCCACTCACCAGTCCTGCTGCTTTCTCTGCTCAGCCAGCTCATGCAGCCGGCGCAGCATCTTCTCCTGCTTCCTTTCGTCCCGCCGTGACCGTGAGGACACGTTACGGGCAAATTCCCTCTGCTTTAGCTCCTTCAGTCTCTGTAGCACAGGAAGGACGCAGGAGTGGGGGATAGGGGTAGAGGGGAATTAGAGGGAACAAGAAGAGCAGGAAAAATGGTGGGGGGGGGGGGGGGGGGAACAAGAAGAGCAGGAAAAATGGTGGGTGGGGGGGGGGACGAAGGTTAAAAAGTAACCTGAACGCAGCACTCTGACAACAAATTCCCACTGAAGCAATATGTGTACTACGCTCCTGCCCAAGATTATGACGAGACAGTAAGTTTACGGTCAGATTTTCTCCAGACTTACAGATGGCACTGATTATGGACCCAATGTGACTGAAACTTGTGACTATTAAATTTCAGCAGCTCTACATTTTGGAGAACCTTGGTAGGAAGTCAATGCTGAGAATCTCAGTGAGGAGAAAATCAGTTCTAACTGGGCAATCACCAGAGCCACAACAATCGTACTCCTGTCCCTCACCCCGCCCCCTCTTCCATTTAGTTCCTCAAAATTAATCCACCATTACCACCACTCCACCAGAGGGGGTCACTGGCACCTTACCTGTGCCTCCTCCGTACCCCCGATGTACTCGCGCTCGTCTCTAAGTGTGTGCACACGCGCAGGCGTGTGCGCATGTGTGTGTGTGTGTGAGCGTACTCACGTGTCTTACAGGACAGATAGATAAATAGATAGATAGTAACTGTCATGAGAAAAGCAGCAGCAAATTGCAAACCACAGCTCAAATCTATTGCACTCCGGTACAAGGTGCACAGGACAAGGTTTGGAATGAGGGAGTGAGGGGGATGGCGAGAGGAGGACAGGGGACGACGAATGTTTAGTATGGGGGGGGGGGACAGCGCAGCTACACGATTAGCCATTACCAACCATAATGAAAAATACTAGAAAGAATAACAGAGAGACTGAAGAAGACAGCAAAACAATGTCATGCCTGCAAGAAGGGCAAGAGTGGCGGAATATATACGACCAGAACTAGGCTGATCCTAACCTTCTAATATACAGGCGTTTACTGATAAAGGCAGTCCTGGAGAAAGAAAGAAAGAAAGAAAAAAAACATTTCATCTCACATGAATGGCACTTAATTTGGCATCCTACATCACAGTACTGACACTACCAGCAACAGCGGCCCACCCCGCCCCTCCTGGTTACAGTAGATGAAAATCTGACCCTGTGCAGACTGGACATTGCCTTTGAAGTGCAAGTGGACATCCGCGAGCTAGTGGAGTCGATGGGGAGGGAGACAGAACACAGGAACACCCGCTCACGACATATGGAGAGAGGCAGCAGTCAGGAGGACAGGGGGACACAAGCGAGCAGAGAGAGACTCACGCCTTGGGTCTGGATGCCCACTTTTATAGAGGGGGGTGCTGGCAATACATCAGCTGAAAAATGTTACAGATCGTAGAACAAAAACGGAAAAAAAAGAATAAAACAGAAAGGTAGATTTTACAATTCCCAAAATTATATATTCCTTTTGAAAATGCAGTTAAAAAGAAAAAAATCTGCCATTACTTGGTGAGCCTGCTTCATACATGGATAAGTGCAATGGATGAGGTAGGAGGGGTCGGTGAACAGGGAGCAGTCACAGGTTAGGCCAAACTACATCTCCGTGGGCTGAGAGAGGGAGTTAGGGGAGATCTGAAACAAACACACCCCCAGCCTGTGCTGAAAGAGGAGGGGGGTGGGGGGGGTGACAGAGCGGTTTGCTAAACTGGACACATCTGGGGGAGGAACCTGCAAGCTGTGCCCAGCAGAGATGCTCTTTAAAGTCGGTCATCCCACATCAGTGTCGGTCGTTTCTCACTCTCACACCTCAAGGGTTCGGTTATTACACACTGTGTTTAACTGGCACTGCATCACTTGCTTCAGAATGTAGCTTATAACCTTATTTCACATGCTCATTCAGCCTGAACCCAATTGTTTGATTTCCCAAATAGTACAGAACAAGCAAATCAAACAAAATGTGAATATTACAATTAATGGCACTTTTTCTTTTCTTTTTTTTTCTTTTTTTAAACACAGTGGTCACCGATTGTGTTTGTTTCATGCATGTGTTTGATAAACCCGGGAATTGCTGACACCCTTCCAGAACATGTGCAGCATATGAACAATGGCTTAATTCATAAGATGGCTCCTATGAGACCAGTTTTGCCAGTCCGAGTCTCTTCAGGGAGGGGAGGGTTCAAATACAGTTCTGCAAAAAAAAGACGATGACTTTCACATGTCTGGATGCAAAAAAAGCAGGAGTGTGGGGGGGGGAGGGGGGGCGTTCTGTGACAGGCGAATACAGCCACAAAGCCTCCTACAAGCCCAGAGGGCGGTATTACCTGCTTATGCGCGTGATCGTAGGAGTTGATGTGGTTGTCAAACTCCTGATGTTTCTGGTACTGCTTGTCACAAAGCTCGCAGTAGAAGTTGGCCCTCAGGTCTTCCAGCGCCTTTGCAATGGCCTTCTCCTTCTCAGCGTAGTCCTGCAGCACAGAACAAAGGAGCAAGTGCTCAGACCCCAGGGGAAATGTGAGCACACTGGCAGAGAGCAGCAGGATAAGGATCTAACACACAGGCATGCGTGTTAGACACAAATGTTTATCTCACCATCATCATCATCCAGAAATTCAAGTTCGCACCCACAACACATGTGGATAAAAATCAGCTGTCATCTGGGATCAACATTTTAAATCCAGCTCTCTTACAAATGGAACAATCTCAGAGAGCATGTAACAAGGAAACATTTAAATTTTGCTTTTTAAAGCCCAAAGAAGCGGTTAATCAGACCAAAAGTTACTAATCTGTATAAATTTGGCATATCCTCATCTTTATTACATTTGGTTAGCGGAGCACCACATGCTAATGTTTTGGTAAAACATGAAAATAGTGAAGTGGCGGTGAAGAAAGGGACAGCTCAGCAGCGACATCATCTTTTAAAGGAGAAGATATTGTGGGTAAACAAGGTAAAAACACATCAGTGGTTTGGTGGTACTTTTTGCATCTTAAACTCCGACATTTATTAAATGTAAGGATGTTGAATTTATACGGATTACTAATTTTTGGGCGTCACAATACACACCTCATTTATATTTCAGGCACACTACTAATCTTCTTACCAAATTGTGGGCATAAGTAATCATCCCTATAGTACTGACAAACTGGCGCCCGGACAAACGTTAACATTTATGACCATTAAATGTATAATATAGAAAGCCCTGGTGATTATTGCAAATGTGACATAATTGAAATGTGACATTGTGCAGCCCTATTTTAAACATAATAATACAGTACTTAATAAAATAATAATGATGATAATAATAATAAGGAAAGTATTACATATGGTACTTACTGTCGTTCCACTGATGTCTTGCATACCAGAAGGGGCATTCGTGAGGTAACATTAAAGCAACTGCTGTTTTCATGAGCATCACAAAGTTATTACAAACCATTTTATTTAACTCAGATTTGTAATATAATGGGATTTATGGCAGTCCGTTCAAAAGTTGTCTGTAAATTAGACGTTCTTAACCCAGGGACTTACTGTACAAAAAATTCTGTGTTAAACCCCAAGTAATCCAGTGATGCTGGCTCAACAGACTTCGTAGTACAACACTTAAGAGTCAGTCACATTTAAACTGAAATGAAACATTTTTCAACAAACTACAGTATATGACCTTGTAAATTTATATCTTAATGTTTTTCAAGGCCTTAATTGGTTCAACTTGAACTTAAAACTTTAATACCCCATGGACACCTTGTAACAGTGCCCCCCGACTGAGTCACCATGCCACCCGAGATGCAATCCCTTCAGGAACATTCTGCAGACACAAAGAATTACAATGGGCCCAGCTTTCTGACATAGATCATGTGAATTTCATACATTTATGACCATTAAATCTGTAATGTAGAACTTATGCCATCTGTATTCTAAATGAATGCAAATTCATTACAATACTGCTATGTACAGTTCCCAAAATTTTTTGCATAGGAAAAATAAAACCCAACAACTAGTTGGGGGAAACTGCCTAAAGCAGAACTGAAATAATAAGAGCAGTGACTCATGGAGTCAGCAAGAGGGTCGTACAGGAGGCATCTGCAGCTTGGCTCACTGAGAATTCATCGTGACAGAGAAACACAGCCTTCCAGCTCCAGTTTAACAAACACCGAGGAGCAGCAGCAGAGAAGCGATGAGGGGGAGCATTAACAGCGAGCAGGCAGCTGTCTCACTGAGGTTTAGGCATTTTCCCAAATATTTGGATGGCTTCCATAATTTAGTGTTACATAAGCCTGCTACACTGGATTCTGCCTGGACCTCAGACAGCAAAAATCCAGGAGGCCCCAATAAATCAGGCACCACAAGTTAACAATGGCGAGTGAATCCCTGGAGTAAGGGTGCTTTTGCGCCCTTGGATGACGTGATTAATTGGACATGCAGAGGAAACTAAGCTGAGAAGGTTGTTTTATCGAACAGCCAGTCACACAGAAGTATAACAAACTTGACCTAGCTTTTGACCTAGTCCTCAGGTTACCCCAGACGTTAAACTACTGAGCAAGTCACTCAAATTGTCCCAGTAAAATAGCAAAAAGAAGCTTGAGTGATGCGTCAAGCATCAAGCTGCTTTTGGGGATATGAGAATCTCGCAGTGGTTCTCGAAACAAAGTCAGGTGATGGGAAGTGTAAGGCCTAAATGAAACTCGCCTTGTACTTCTGCCGCAGCTCCTCCGTGTCCTCCTTCTCCACCTCCAACACTCGCCGCTTCTCTGTGGCATCCTCGGCGTAGTCCAGCTGCAGAGAGGACACCGTGTCAGGCAAACCCCGAGGTGGCCCCCATGCGGCGAGCTGACGTCACACCAGGACGCCGTACCTGCAGCGCTCCCGTTTCACTGGGAGCAACTGGGGGCCGCCGGTATCACACCAGCACTTTCCACCGAAACCCCCCGCTGACCTTCAAAAGCAGGCCAGCCACTGCTTCCCAGCTCGACCCCCTTTTGTGACCGACTTTCATCCTCAGTCCTACATTTGATCCCTTTTTAACACTCTCCTCACCACCATCTCACCTCCATCTCCATGCGGCCCATTCCCATGACATCGTATTTGAGGATGATAGGCACAGGGTCTGTCCGACCTATAAGTAGGAAGGAGAAAGGAATGGAGAGAAAAACAGATGGGGTGGTGAGAAAAGACTGGGAGGGAGGACACACGTCAGTAAGCCAGCCTTGCTTGGTATAATGTTGGGTTAGAGGTCTTGCCTTGTGTAGAACCCGAAAGCCTACCACCATCAACAGTTCACCAGCCATTCTCACAGCTTATACATTCTATCAGTATGTTTACCAAATCAGAATTTCGGAAGGGGGGTGTCACGACAAGCCAACTGGTGGGGGGGGGTTAGGATTGTCAGAGAATGGACCCTAACACTGCCGTACGTCTGGCTTCAGAACATCGCACAACTGAATGACATCTGGCTCCACCTTAACCCCCTACCCCCGCGCCTGGACTGCTGCAAAGCTGCAGCCTGAATCGCAGTACTGCTTCCGCAAGGACAGGAGGCTTCAAACAGTGACAGCTGAGCTCTGCAGAGGGATGCGGGGGGGGAGGGCTGCGGCTGAGCGTGCCGGGTGCAGGAGGACTCGTGTGTTAATGATACACACTGCGAGCCGCTCTGCCATTTTGTTGTCATCATGCATTAATAATACTGCAGAACGGCCAGAGAAAGACAGCACTCTGGACGAAAGCACACGAAATGGCCAGCGACACCGGTACCCCCACCATCCCTGACCTCCAGCTCGGACTCCAGCGCTGCAAGCTGTGAAAAGAGCTGGATAAGAACATTAACCCGGGAACAGAAGGGGGTGTACATAAGGGGAACAAAACACCAACCATGTCAGAGTTCAGACACACTGTTTAATCCACAGGCAAAAACAAAGCAGAGGGAAACAAGCACCAAACTATGGCAGCAGGGGGAGGGACGCGGGCTGGGGATCACCAAGTAATGAAAACAGGGACTCTGGTGGTAAAGCACTTACCTGGGGGGGGAGGACAGGACTGGAGGACAGGACTTGTACAAAGTGCTGCTGTTATGGTTTGATGATAAATGATCAGAGGCTCCAATCACCTGGTTAGATCCCCCAATTTCACCTTCACTGACACAGTATTTGTGCCTAAATTATACCCTTGGGCAAAGCCGTATTGTATTTAGCGATTAGTGCTCTTTTTGACTGCGCTAATATCCAGAGGAAACAAAGGAAGTGCTTTCATGTTATTCCTGGAACATAAGCCCATGTACTGATGGTCAAGCCTGAACATTGAGGGTGGGTTCCAAGGCAGACACCACCTTAGCCAAATAACTGTAAAGAATGGAAGCTGAGCTGCTTCACTAATCCAGCCCACAATCCAGCATTCTGCTGCGATGTCAGCAGTCACTGCCCAATGATATAATTCTGAAGTAGCGACATCTTGTTTTGCAGACACGACAGACCGAACCCTGACTCCACCCTGCAATGGCTGCAGAACTGGCCCACATGGGCATGGTGCACTCGGCACACCTTTCAAAAAGCCCTGAGGCAATCAGCAGGGTCTCCTTCTCTGTAGACCCCATCATCGTGATAGCTCAGCCGGAGATGCCCACCTGCCCAGCACGTCCATGACTGCTACAGGGAAATCACGGAAAATGCACCAGCATATAATAATGGGGACACCAAAAACACTGTGATCCAATTAGTAAAAGCCACACCAGCTGTCAGCGTTTGCCGCTCTGTGATACAAATACGTTTTTCCTTCAGATTTCCTCTATGCTGGTGTCTGACTATCTGAATTGCTGTCATCCAGCAGCAACCACCATTTTGTTTGCCTGTGTTGTTACTCATTTCGAATAAATTTTTTATGTTGTGCGTAAACTTCGCAAAGTCTGTGATGGAGCGCTGCACAGAGGTGCATCATACTGATTACCTGAGCAGAACACAATACAAAAGGAAAAAACACCTTTATTTTATCAAAAACGCTAAGGCAAAACTAACTTCTGATCATGTGTGCAAGACAAGATGCCTATTGTCACAAGCAAAAAAATAAATAAAAAAAATCTGCAATAGGTATGCAAGAGGCTGTAGAGGATGTTTCATTAATGATCATCATTATAATAACCATGCTGAATAGGCCATTGCGGGGGTGTGTGTCTCTCTGCGCTCCTGCTTCATATTCAGTGGCAAACGCCGCATTGACAGAGAACCGTGTGCCTGTAGCTCTGCATTTCATAAAGGCACTCCATTAGGATGTTGTCAATCTGGCCGGGGGATGGTCAAAAACCAGAGTGACCCTCTATACGCCTACCGCAATTCCCACAAACACGGAGAGGGCTCAACATTGCTGAGAGGAGCCATGAGGGCGAGAAGAGGAATCTGCATTTTAAACAATAGAATGCCCAGTTTTAGTTTTATTAATGATTTTGTCTTAAAACAGTGGTATCCCTTCTTGCATTACCCATTCCAATAGAAAACATTTAACAGTAAATGTTTGAAATGAGCACAAAATTTACAGCGGAATAAGCAGCAGAATGAAAGCTACAACGGAGGAAGAAGAAGTGAAGCCTATGGCATTTGTGCACTGATGATGTTATTTAAAAAAAATAAAAATAAACCGAAAAAAATTAAAAATTACCACTAAGTTTACCATCGCCGTGACACGGCCAGGATCATACCGCTGCAAAAAAGAAACACCATATCGGTTAAGGAGGAATGCTGCCGGTGGACCCCAATCACCGACACCAGGTGACCAGGTGACCCAACACCTGCCCGCCACCCCGCAACAGCCGAAGACGACGGGAACGGGTGGCCCATGTTCCCACCACCAAAGCTGTTGGTTTGACCCAGATTCTTGGTTTCTCTTTAGGAACAAAATTTGTGGCATGATCTCAGCCCATGAAATCTGTGGAGTGCCTACTGGACAAGGGGCACCAGAGCCACAGATTGATGGGGATGTCAGGTGCTACCATCCAGACCCGACGGCATTCAGCAAGTGCTCAGTTTTCGGCTGTAATTTCCACCATGCTGCTGCTTTGAATGATCGTGACATATTTCAATGCAGTGGATTTCAGTTAAGAGATAATTCGTGATCATCTCTATCAATCATGGTAAGATTGTTTCTTCCCCCCCCCATTTCTCCATAAATTTACACGGCCAAGCCTGAAGAAGCAGCCGACGGCCATTGCAAGGGAAGAGGGATGGAGCTCTGTACATCTGGCTGTGCAGGGAGCTTTCTTCCACAGCTCGACAGCCGCGGACACAGCCCAGCAACTCTGCTGTTACCTGAGAGAGTCACGGAGCTGCGTGTAACTATGCACCCTTATGGATGGCCAAAGGGGGGAAGGAAGGTCTAGTACACTGGCTGACGGGTGGGACCAGAGGCCTGTGAAGTCATGAGAAATGCGTAGGCTAGGAATCTGCCAACGATGGCCATGGAGAGCTCCGCTCCACAAGCGGTGCATGAACAAGAGAGACACAGTTCATCTATTGAGCTAGCAGCTGAAGGTGGCGTGGGAGATACGAGAATGTGAAAAGTAAGAGGGCCTACGAGGATCCGTCACCTCATACAGTGAGGGAAGTTAACATGACGACTATATTTGGCGTCCTTTAGCCTTTAAAAGACCACCGACAGACAATTTAAACCAACAAACCGGAGCACCAATCACAAGACAGGGCTCAGCAAATGAAAATGCAGTGGGGTGATGCACACTGGGGCAAATCAGTCAAATTTCCGGACAAAACAACACTAACACTAAATTCAATAAATTCAGATCAGAGATGTTATGTATTCAAAATCCCTAAATATCCATAGTCATGTAAGTTGCCTTGACTAAGAACAAGCTGAACAGATAATGCCTAAAGAGGACTGGTTTAAACTAAGTGCTTAGTCAGTACTGCCAAAATGTTCCTGATATTACTACTGTGTCCAGATAACTCCCTAGGAAAAGCAGCCCTGCTCCACAGGGACTCCATTAAGCTGTGCTTTATCAGATATATCACACGGGACGAGAGACCACAAAATCATACATGACTAAACTGAAACGCAGCACACACGGCGGGTAGCTTAAGATCTCCTGCCAACACCACCCCCACCTCTTATACCGTCCACGTTAAGCCTTGAGGGAGGGACACAGTATTTGATTGTAGAGAAACACAAATATTTTGAGGTCTCTCTTCCAGTACATTCCACATTATAAATACAAACATGACTAACTCGGTAGGGTACCTCTTAGAATAAACACTCAGATAGGGGAGCGTTCCACCTCACCAAGTACCGTACTTTTGGTACTTTCCCGTTTCCATTGACTTCTGGTCGAGTGCCAGTACCAAAAGTGTCAAACCAGCTGGGGTACTTCTTTGGTACTTCAGGGTGGGACTTGAAATGCTTTCTTTGTCGACTGGTTATGCAAATAACCTGCCTCTTCGGAAAAAAAAATCCCGAACTGTGATTTTGTTGTAATAAATATCGGGGTATTTATAAAGCAAAAATTAGTTCAGAAATTTCTCACAAACCCATGTAGGAGTTATTTAAACAGCAAGGATGAAAATGATTGTGATTGTCTCAGAGAACACATGCAGCACATAAGCAAAAGCAGCATAGATAAACTTTAAACTGAATTTTAAACATATATTAGATAATCTTATAAAAGGAATAATTAAAATAGCAAAGCTAGCTAAGGTAAAGTAAGGTACTTAAACATGTTGGTTTTACACTGGCATAAGAAATGGTACCAGCGCCAAATGACATTCACTAAGCGAGACGATGTATTTTGTACTGAATTTGAAAAATATTATACAGTACATTATACAGCTTGGCAATGGGCAACATTAATACCAACACATGCAATTCTTACACCGCTAGTCAGCTGTATTAAAATAATGCTTTTTCTTACTGTCAATTCTGTACAGATATTATAGTGGGGGGGTTAAGTTTAGCTAAAATATTTTTACTGTTACTCTGTCACAGGCAAAAACAAAAAAACAAAAAAAACTCTGCAAGCTTTGCAATTTAAATTATTCCTTTTATAAATTCTTATACATGTTTAAAAATCAGTTTAAAGTTTTAAGTCAATAGAAAAGTAAAAGTACCAAAAGTATGGTAAATGGTGCGGCAGAAAAGTGCCCTTACTAGCAATGTAAGAATTGTATATGCATAACAATGCAATGCTGGTATTAATTTCGCATCATCTAGTCGTATAATATACTACAGCCATTTTTTGAATTCAGTACAAAATATTCAGCCTTGTGTTGATGTCATTTGGCACCATTACCAATTTTTATGCCAGTTGAAAACCAATACCTTGAAGTACCGTACTTTTGGTACTTTCCACCTGGTGTGGTGGAAAAAGCACCTTAGATGACATTGTGTGTCAGGTGTGCCAGCCAAATAGGCCAAGGAGTCCTTAATGCCACAGGAGACGCCTCCTGTAGCTACCATCGATCTCCCAGAAACAACTCTTCGGCTTTGAAGGACTGTTCTATTTGTCACCAGCTGAGAGAATTTAAGCTTCTAAGTATCTGTCCGTCTGCACTCCTTGTCCCTTTTTTGATTGCTCAGCTCAGCTCCTGTTCTAACAGGGACACCGGATGAAGTTGCACAAGAGAGAGAGATGACAGAATCGCATTAATCTTCCTGAAGGGAAATTTAAATGGCTGTTATGAGAATGGTTTTACATTTGCACATCTTATACAATCCTCTTCTTATATAAAATATACTCCTTCAATGGGTGGCAGAGCATTTAGTGCCCAAACTCTGGATTTCACTGTCACAATGTCTGCAAGATGTTCAATCCAATTCAACTTTTAAGCTTCAATTAAAAACACATCCTTTTTAAGAATGTTATAATACATCATCCACTGACATCCAGTTTGTGACGTTAACCTTTGTTTTGTCTGTTGATTTTGTGTGTGTATTGGACTATGTATTGTAAATTGCCCTTGAATGTGAGAAAGGTGTTATATAAATAAAACTTTTTGCAGAAGATTGGCCCTTGCTAGCCAACATTTCAATGTTCTCTGCAAAAGGGGGGGCGGTGAGTGGCAGTGGGTTGTTTAGTCATTTTGGGTCTCAGATACACTGCTGCAGCTTGGGGGGGGGGGGGGGGGGGGGGGCTGCACTGCAGCCTGTATGCCGCAGGAGGGATGGGTGATCTTTACTGAGCACACAGGACCTTTCGTGCTGTTTTGTATTTTTTGTTATAAAAACCTGTAATAATTAGCCTCAGGATCTGCAAGCAAAATATAGCACTAGTTTTTCTGTAAAATACATGGGCAACAATTTTGTTCCCAGAACATAGTTACATTGTTCTAGTGCTCTAGTTACATGTTCCAGATTGTGCCCAAAATGTACAGGGTACAGCACTGCTATGAATGAAGAGAATAGTCCACAGCTGTTGAACAAAAGGCTAGCTGATTGAATCTTCCTTTCAGAAAAGTAGGAAGGAGCAGGTGATAGCATTGAGATTTCGGATATAAAAAACGGCTTGAAGGAGAGTCTTTTGCCCTTGCTTCTGGACAGGAATACAAACGACTTTTTCATTTTCACTGGAACTGTACAGTGCAGTGGGGCCTTGGGTGATGGGTAATATGTATTTACAGCTAACACTGAAGGCTCAAGGCTAAGACTCCAGAATAACTACAGAGTCCTCTGAATTCCCGTGCGGATCAGTCTCCAGCCGATTGTAAGGCACAGAGCAGAGTTACCGGAAGCTTGGGAAACAGGAGGACCAAACATACTTTATAGTCTCAATGCTCTTCACCAAGGAGCCAAATTCCACTAAGGAAATGCAGACAGCAGAGAGAGAGGATCTGAAAAGAACTGGGTCCCCCGATGGACGCACAATGGCCGTCGTCTCATTGCGATCTGGGACAGAATCTCGCCTCTACTGCTGCGCCAAATCAAACGTGCCCCAGGGGACATTTCAAGCAGACGCCTTTCAGCAGAGTCCACGGGAAGCCACCAATGACCTGAAATGCTTTGCGGAGCAAGTTTTTGGACCATCTGTGTTGAAAAGCATCACAAACTTGTTATTCACCGACTCACAAGGCACATTTCAACTTAAACCCAAGCTCCAGTCTAATGTTTTACTGGTTTAGACTAATCAAAAGAAACCTAAGCATGTGCTTGGCAATAACGATTAGAATAGTCATTCTTTCAGGTTAATTTTAAAACACAATTGCATGCTTAAGCAAGCGCATACAGAATAAAAATTATGAATAAAAAAACTAGCATTCTGTTAATGCTAATCTGCATTAGCTGCACCTAAGAATGACAGGTGGAGTGATAAGTGTAGTAAAAAGCAGAGCAGCAAACCAAGTGATTGCCACCCTAAATGAGAGTAAACATTTTGATAGCTGTTAGTCCTTTCACATTCTGTCCCAATATTCTGCCAGCTACACTGGTCAGAAAGGGTTGGGGTCACAAACAGAACAGTATACTTCTCATTGGGCAGCTCTCACTAGTCCTTGAATCCAATTTCTCAGTAAAACCAAACTGTGTCTGAATACAGTAAGAAAAAGAATCTTATGGTGCTTTTCCACTGCCATGAAGAACTGAGCCGCATCTGAGCCATAACGGGAACTGATGATTTTCCATTGTAAACTATCTGAACT